GGAGTGGGCCGGCAGCCCTGGCCTCTCTCCCCACAGCGCCCAGTCCCGCAGCCCTGCCCGGGAGGAGATGTCCACAGACCAGCCCGTGGCGCCCACCGAGGAGCAGCTGGAGATCCTGGAGTACAACTTTTGCAAGGTGGACAAGCACCCCGATGCCACCACGCTGTGCCTCATTGCGGCTGAGACGGGGCTTTCCGAGGAGCAGACCCGGGTGAGTGCGGGTCCCTCAACCCAGCCCCACTGCCCTGCATGCTTCTGGCTTGCACCCCTGCTGTACCCTCTGTCCCCATGTGCTCCCCGAAACCTCCCGCTTGGTCCCAGATGTCCCTGGGCCCTGTGCTCTGGGTGGCTCCACACCTGGGCTTCCAAGCAAAGCGGCTCCATCCCAGCCCTTCAGGTTGCCTGGCTGCGATGCAGGTGGTTTATACAATTTACACACTCCTCAACTCACAGTGGGGTCGGGAGGGGCAAAAGAAAGGAGCTCCAGCCCCCAAGAAAAGCGCTTTGCAAAGAGCTCCCAGTCCAGCTCACCCAGCAGAGCCCAAGGGGTGGGTGCCAAGCAGCAGCACCCTCTCCTGGGGAAGCGCTGGTGTTCACTCCTCCAAAGCAGCACTGGGCCTTTTTTTCTTGAAGTGAGGACTAAGCACAGGCTCTGTGGAGGCCTCTCGAGATACCTGCCCTGAGAGTCCTGTCTCTCCTGGAGCATGAGGTGCCCCTAGATGTCTGGAGATGGAGATCGCGGTGCGGGAGGGATGGAGAGCCGGGTGCTGGACTGCAAGGTGCCCTCACTGCAGGCACTTCTACCCTGCCTTTTAAAGCTGTTTGTCCTTAAATCTCCTGAGATTTAGTCTCCCCGTTTTGCGTCTCATCCTGGATGCTCAGCACTAAAACAGGGCCCTGCCCCACCTTCCAAGGTCCAGACCGAGCACGAGAAGAGGGTTTGGAAGAGGGTTTTGGCTGCCCACATGGGCCAAAAGACTGTCCAGGCCAGAGGTGCTGCCCGCGCTGCCTGCCCAGCAGCACCACAGCAGCTAGGAGATGCGGCAGGTCTGCCTGGCCCCGCGCCCTCAGCGCCTCTTTCTCTTCCTTATTCCTCCAGAAATGGTTCAAGCAGCGTCTGTCGGAGTGGCGGAAGTCTGAAGGGCTGCCCTCGGAGAGCGGCTCTGTCAGGGACTAGGGGGTGCTGCTCCCATCCCTGTGCCCGCGGCCTGCGATGGCAAAGCCCTCGGAAGCCCCACAGAGTGGGTTTCCCCTGGCGCCGTACATTCTGCGATGCAAACCAATACCCTGCTATTTAATATAATCTTTATTTAAAGTGTACATAACCAGGAAAAAGGAGAAAAAAAAAGATATTATATGCAGATACATACAGCTTTCAATGCTGCATAACCTGCCAAGCAGTTCATATCCTTAACAGGGGCTGCACAGGGCCAGGCAATCTCATGCCTGTGTCCTGGCCTCGCAGAAAAGCTACACTGAAAACTGAAAATATAGTGGAAACAAGAAAATAAAAATATATAAAATAAATAAAATATAAAATAAAATAAAAATGCCTTAACACCCAGAGCAGAGGCTACCTGGAAAAGCTTGAGTGCCGTTAGCGTGATCATGGTTAGCTCCAGATGCAAACGGTAGCTGTAGTATGGGCAGGCCAAGGGCCTGCATCCTGAGCAGACCAAACCAAATGCTATGACTGCAGCTCTCCCATCTCCATTAACTGTCACCAAAGGGGAAGAACTGGTGGGTTTTTTATTTCTTTTTATGGCACATGAATAAAATGCGGAGCTTTCTGGCTGGGAAGAGCCGTGCCGCGTCCTTGCCTGCGCTCCGTTTCCTTGCAGGGGAAAAGCGCCTCCGGCAGAGCAGCGCTTCAGCAGGCGCCCTTGGCCGATGCCGCGAGGACGTGGGCGGGAGCAGCGGCGGCTCCTTTGCGGCCACGCTGCAGATGTTCCGCGAAGCCGCAGCTCTGCCCTCCTCCCTGCACAGGCGAGAAGGAACCAGCAGCATTGCCGGCGACCTTGCTCCAAACCCCTCTGCTTAGTGGCTTAGCAGAGCAATTAGGGGATCCTCTGATAAATCCTCTGCTGGTTTATGGTCAGCTGGCTCCGTTCCTGGAGCAAAAAGATCGGCTTAGCATGGGGAAGATTAAAATACATGGACAGGCACCAGGATGGCTACGTGCTTGGGAGAGTCCTTGTTTTGGCTTCACCTCCTCCAGTACTGCTCACGTTGATGCCTTTCGCCGTGTTTTGGGGAGCCTCTCTCATGCCTCTGTATCCCCAGCCCAGCCCTGCGAAACCTGTGAAACTCCTTGGAAGCAGAGGAATTATCTCCCCGAGACGCTGGGGAACCTGCTGTTGGCCACTGCCTCACCCTACACGCGAGCAGAGCATGGAGGCTCTGCTGTGGAGCTTGGCACCGCTTCCTCCCCAGCCTTTGCAAGGCACCTGATCCTTCACGCAGAGGAAAACGCTGCCTCCTGGGTTCTGATAAACCTCCAGTGCAAAGCTCTGCTCTCCTGCCTCAGGAGGGAGGCCGCCCACATCAGGCTCTTCTGCTCTTAAGGAAGGACTATTTTATTTAAGCCCCCAGGCGAGCCCAGGGACAGGGCGCTGCTCACAAGAAGGCTGCCATGCGGGAGGTTTTCCAGCTGCAGAGGCTGCGTGAAGAGGGAGAGGTTCCTGCGGGAGCTCAGTGCTTAACGGGGCGCGCAAGGTCTTGGAGGCGAGCGGAGCACACGGCCTTCATCGCGGACTCCTTCACCACAAACGCCTCGGGGTTGAACTGAGTCAAGTCCATGGAGAGCCTGGAGGAGAGAGGACAGAGCGGCTCTGTGAGACGGTGGGGCCGAGCGCCACGCACGGCCCTTGGGCCTCCCACCTACCGCTTGCGAGGCTGGGCCAGCTCCACGAGCCGCGGCGAGGGCACCGCGTGCGTCGCTGCCTTGCACACGGGCCACTCGGCATCCCGCAGGGGCATGTAGTCGGGAAGCAGGCTCCTGGCCGCAGCCAGCTCCAGGACACGGGGACTCGCCACTGCCTGCTGAGCGGCCTGAGACACCTGTGTGGGAGCAGAGCTGTGCTCGGGAAGCCTGGCCTGGCCGGTCCTGCCACCCACCTTCGGGCTCTGCCTCCCCTCGGCCACCTTGTCCAGCAGCCCCTGCATCCCTCTGGACGCTCGTCAGCCACCCGCTGTGTCCCCCGCGCTGTCTTACGGGCCGAATGGCAGCTTCGGGGGCGCCGCGCCCGTAGCAGCATGTCTCCGTCCCGGCACGGGGCT